TAGATGGGTGGTGGATGAGTGGTTTGATGGGTGGATGGATGGGTGGATGGATGGGTGGAGAGATGGGTGGTGGATGAGTGGATGGTGTTTCTATGCTTGTTGGAGATATTCAGGAAACTGCTCCTGATTATCCAGGTCTAGAAACATCGTTGATTGCAGTACACCATACACTGTCGATGTGCATTAGAGTTTATCGACCAACCTCTTTAGAGTTAACTGAAGAGTTTTCCTGGCTGTGCCAGATGGGATGTGACAGATAAGTCACCACGCCCCATTTCCTTAGTGACTCCTTCCACTGTTGCTCGTGCCCTAGTCCTTCCTCAAGTTCCTAGGTAGCTCAGTGGTCAGACTGCCTGGCCACACCCTCGCTCCTTTACCTTCCTAAGTCACGAGCCTTGGGTAAAGCCCTGGTCGCCTCCTCTGTAGAATAGAAATGATAATAACACCCGCCTCAGAAATGTGTGAACATCCATCAACAGATGAATGAATACACAAAACGTGGTATGTCCGGACAATGGAATATGATACAGCCATAGAAATAACGAAGCACCAGTTCATGCTACGATGTGGATGAACCTCAGAAACATTACGCTAAGTGGAAGAAGCCAGACACAAAAGACCACACATTGCACGATTCCATTTATGTGAAACGTCTAGAATAGGTAAACCTATGGAGACTGGAAGCAGGTTGGCGGTTGCCTAGAGCTGGGAGACGGGTGATGGGGAGTGGCTGCTTAATGACATCGATTTCCTTTTGGGGCGATGAAAAGCTTTTTGTGAATGTGCTAAATGCCACTGAACTTTACACTTGAAAATGGTCCATTTCATGTAATTTTCACCTCGATAAAAAGTTGATTTAAAAAAAGCGTGAACATTCACTGCCGTAAGCTCTCAGCACAGCGCCTGGCATGCCGTGAGTCCTGAGTGAGATTCCTACCGTAGGAAGCTCGTGGGACGCATACTTAGAAAGTAACTATGCAAGAGGGGAGCTTACGGATGGCACACGCGAGTGGGGACACGGGCCAAGGGCCAGCTGCTTCCGGGTTAGACAAAACCCACACGTCGGATGAGCTGTGTGGCCGAGGACGTGCCCAGGTCCCAGGGGGCTCTTGCCTGTCTCTCTCTCTAATGGCAGGACGAGGTGGAAACCCCGGGGTCCACCCCAGGGGTACCGGCTGCAATTTGGCTAACACGTTCGTTAATGGCGTTTGCTTCAACAGCCTTTCCTCGGGCTCGTGGACAGCTCCCACTTCCCTGCTCCCTTGTCCCCGGCAGGCACGGGGGCAGCCTCTCGCAGAGGCAGCGGCCTGATTTCTCCAGCCTGAGGAAGCTATAAATCTAGGGCTTTAATCACGTCTTCATGATCACTCAGCAACGAGCAGAGAAGGATTTATTCTGCTGGGACCGGGAAGGGAAGACCTGCAGGAGGTTGTCGTGGGGATATTGGTTTAGCAGAGGCAGAACTGCTCCCCTGGGCCCTGCTGGGGACCGGCCGATGAACGATGACACCGATGGCCGTAACAAGGCAATTACTGGTGTGTGCAGGCGACGCTTCGTTAAAGAGGCGGGCAGCCTCGCCCGCACCGCACAGGGCCTCGATTTCTCCCCGTCTCTGCTCCAGCCCCTGCGTCCTCGGGAAAGCAGTGAGCATTTCTTGGAAGCCCTAAGGGTTCTTTGCGGTTTTCTCTGCAAATGTCAGGAAGGAGAAGAAAGCAGGGAAGCCTAGAGAGGACTCTGGCCCCTGGCACACGGCAGGCACCTGCTGTCCATTCATCGAACATCTCCACTCCTCCATTTTCTGGGAGAGAAGAAAGAGGCCCAGAGAGGTAGCGATTCGTCACTGTCACACAGCTGACTGCTTCCGCGCTGGCCTGGTTTACAAACCTCGGTGTTGGAGCCGCAGAAAGGGACTGGGTTCCCCCGGGAGCGTAGGAGGGACCCGGCCCTGTCTCCTGGGGGCGATCTCTGCGGGGTGTTTCTTGTGAGTCACCCCAGAAAGTATTTAAGCGCGATCACGTGCCCCTCTTCTTCCTATTTTCCCACGAGTGATTTCTTCCTGGCTTATTTAACTTGGGCTGTGTCTGGATCGAGCCCTGGTTCCGAAGCATGTCATTCCGTCACAAGGAGGGCCCACGAGACACGCGGTCCCCCCCACCCCGCCCCCACCATCCGCTCCAGGCTCTCAGCACTGCAACACCCGCCTGCAGACTGCGTTTGTATTCACGAGCAAGGAGTTCTGCAGGGTAAGCCGGCCAGGGCGTTGCTGGGCCAAAGGGCGCGTATATTTTTTAATGTCATAGGTGGCGAAAGGTCAGCCGCGTGCGCTCCCATGCACAGCCTCTGCGCGTGCCGCCCTTCACCTCACCCCCTGAAGAGTCAGCTACCTTTTCTGTGCCCGTGCGGCTCCTGCGTGTCCTTTGTCCTCCGCTGTGTGTTTTATAGTACCCCTGCTAATAGCACCCCCACCTCGCATTGCACCTGCCACATTCCAAGTACTCACGTGGGCCAGTGGCTGTGGCGTTGAACAGCATGGCTTAGGGGAAAGGATGGTGACTATTTCACTGTCTTGACAGGGTGGGAGCTGCGCTTTTGTGGAAAGTTGTCTACACACACACACGCACATGCACACGCAGAGTCAAATTCACATCCTCTTTTGCCTAATTCTCAAGCTTTTGGAAAAATCTTCTACAGAAATCTATTGGGCATGGATATATACAAAGCTATTTGCTGCAGCCTTATTTGCCGTAGGAAACTCCCCCCCCCAACCAAAACTTAAAGAACAGAAACATCCTGACTCGTCATGGGGTCGGGGGAGAGAGCAGCATATCTACCCCATGGAGTATTATACAACCATGAAAAAGCAGAAGTTAGACCTGCATATAGGCCCTTGATCTATGCTTAAGGGAGAGAGGCAGGTTGCAGGTCTCACTTGTGCAGGAAAAAAATCCCATATTTGTGTAAGTCTTGATATGCGTTCAAATGTTTAAGTGAGAAAGGCATTGAAGGACACACTGGATGTTAACGCTGGAGATGTCCCTGTGTGGGAGGGGGCTGTCTATTCTGTCTATATAGGCATCTGCTTGTTTGACTTGTAACGGCAGGCAAGAGTTGCTTTAAAAAGACTACCCATAAAGTTTTCTAAAAAGTCCCCCAATTGTGTCAAACCCTGCCCCCAGGTCCTAGTACGGAACAGGCAACTTCTCTACCACTGTTCCCAGCCGTGGACGGGAGCTGTTAGCTTTTAGAAACAAGCAGGGCGGACTGGGCTGAGGGCACGAGGAGACATAAAAACTCAACAGAGGCCAAAGGAAAAGGCGGTTCAAAACGAAGCGAGGAATGGACCAGCCCGGAGGGAAGGCCCTCGCCGGCATCTCAGGACAGTCCCCATCTGCCTCCGTCTGCGGGCATCTGACTTCGGTACCACGGAGCTTGCAAAATCCCTCCGCGCAGGGGTCCCATGGCAGTTCTGTGTTTAATTTTTTGAGCCGCTTCTGTACCATTTCCCACAGCGGCAGCATTTCACATTCCCACCCTCGGGGCACAAGGGTTTCGGCTTCTCCACCTTCCCGCCAAGGGTCCCTCCCCTCC